CTCTCTCTCTCTCTCTCTCTCTCTCTCTCTCTCTCTCTCTGTGTGTAGTGGACGGAGAAACTCGGCGGTACGGAAGCAGGTAATTATCTGTCATGTGTGTGTCTTTTTTTTCTGAGTGGGCGTCAGCTTCTCAGTTAGAACTGCTGTAGCTTTGGTTTTAACTCGAGCCACGTATTCTCACTGTATCCCCTCCCCGCAGGGTGTATGGGCACCTAGAGGTTGACGGGACTTTTGTAGTGACCAAGTAATACACAAATATTTACATTTGTATCTACCTTTGAATCCATACAGCCTGCTGGTGCACTGTCATGCAATCTGAAACACTTTAGCGATCAAAAGGAACTGCCCCATTGAATAACCTCATGTTTGTGGCTCCCCCTTGTGGGTGTTTTGCCCACCAGCTCTCACTTTGCAAAAAAATCAATTGATTGTTTATTTAAAATCATAGTTAGGTTTTAAACATATGAAAATCACAATGGGATTCAATTAACAATGGGCACATAAATCAGCCAAAATACCTTCCACAGCTTTACCTCCCAGAGATTTCTGGAAACCCCAAAACAAACAAAGGGAAAAGGAAAAAAGCGCTGTCTCCTAGCAACAACTGAGTACCCAGCCCACCCTCTGCCGGCACACATAAATGTGTGCACCGATGCGTGTGCAGACGTGTGTGCGGAAATCCTCCTGACAAGATGTGTTTGATTTCCACACCGGTCTCCTGTCCCTCTATCGGGAGTAATTCCTCTTCCCCTGTTCTCAGGAGTCCGGTGAGGTTATTCCTCTGATGGTCGAGAGCTGCATCCGCTTCATCAGTCGCCATGGTGAGTGGAATTCTCCAGTGAAGTGATAGGTGTAGCGTCAGCTTTTCCTGTGCACTGATTGGTTGCATCGCAAAGCCAAGTGTGATTGGTTGAAACTATGAGAATGCAAACTCTACGGAACTATGACATCCTGAAATATGAAACTAGGTACTAGATTTAAACACACGTGTGTGTTTATGTCTGTGTAGGTCTGCAGCATGAGGGCATCTTTAGAGTGTCGGGCTCTCAGGTGGAAGTCAATGACATCAAGAATGCCTTTGAGCGAGGTAAGACATCCAGCAGGGAAACCTCAGCATTTTAGACAAACTGAGTTTGTCCAGTGCTTTAATATCTTTCCTCTACCACTCCCTCGTCTCTCTGTCTTCTTGTCCGTGTATAGGCGAGGACCCGCTGGCAGGGGACCAGAATGACCACGACATGGACTCCATCGCTGGCGTCCTGAAGCTCTACTTCAGAGGACTGGACCACGCCCTCTTCCCAAAGGAAGTCTTCCACGACCTCATATCCTGTGTTTGTAAGTCTCTCTCGTCCTTTTTGTGAGAGTTTGTATTTCTGTGCTTGATTGTGTGAGTAATCTCCCGTTTGTTTGTCGCGGCTGTGTTATTTTCCAGCGATGGAAAGCCTTCAGGAGCGGGCAGTGCACATTAAGAAGGTTCTGCAATCTCTGCTGAGCAAAACCCTCATCATCATGAGATACCTGTTTGCCTTCCTCAACCAGTGAGTAGCAGGAAACGCACACGCCACGAAATAAACAATGTGTTGTTGTTTTGTCAATAAAGGTCGTTTTTGGAACGCGACAGATTTTTTCATCTAAGTAATTCTGACTCTAACGTAAGATGTGTATCGTTATAAAACAACAAAGACGAATTCACAGTTACATTGTACACAGTACAACCGGTGTGACAATCATCACTTTATGTATTTGAGTTTCGGTATATCCTCAGGCCTGAGGCCGACGTTTCAAAAGAGGCCAAATGTTTGGTTGTTGTAGCAGTTTCAGTAATGGTGGATGAAGCCCACAGACGAGGCGAGATGGATGTAACATGGTAGCAGCTGAACATCAAGTGCTGCATTCTCAAAAAACGACCAGTGCATTAAACAAACACCACTATGACACAGCCTCAGGAAATGAACTCCGATATAAACAAAAGTAGATTATTGCACTGTGGCCTATGTCAATATTCTTCAACAGTTCATATTTATTAAAGTCCACATGCCGTTGCACGGAGCCTGAAGCATTTCGCCGTCGGCTTCATCGGGTCTTTTTACATTTTCTCTCTATTCTCTGTATACTGTATGCGTGTCATAAGGTGTAGGATGAAAAACACTGCAACTATTACTGCGACCACTGACAACACGAGCTATAATCAGAGATGACAGCCCGGCTCCAAGACCATTTCAATTAATGTCGATAAGATACCAGCCTCACAGTCAATCATTTTCAAATGTCCATCAATGTTCAAAAACATCTCGCAGTAAACATAAGTCCACTGACAATTAAAAAAAAACTGTTTTCGATCTCCATAAACCGCAAACAACTTCACTTGTATTATGAAAGTATAAAGTGAAGAGAATCAAATGGACTACATAGAACAGCCAGAGCCCATGGATTCATTTAATCCAGTTTATCACAAATCCATTATTTCAGCTTTTCAAAACCGGTGTTTCTGGAAGCACTAACTTTCTCTGACAGTACAGTGAAGCGTCATTTGATATTAAGTCAAAACACAAATTTTAAAACTTGTACTGCAAAAAGAATAAGGCCAGATAAGCTGCCTTTCAACAGTCCGATACCCACTCACACTCAATAGTTTTCATAAACACCAGATTGAGGTTAAAAGGCCTTCTCTCACCAAATCTAAACATCCTATAACGTTTTGAGGGAAGTCAAGTACAGACCCTAATGAAAGTCCAAAGTGCAAAGAACATGTCTTGCCTCTTCACTCCTTAACGAACTCCTTGAGGAATGATTCATTTTTCCACTTTGGGTTTATTTGTGTAGCCCAATACCACATACGGTTTCCTAATGGGGCTCACAGCACCCACAAACCCAGGCTCTTTAAAAAAAGACGAGGACTGACTCCACCAAAAAGCTCTGGCCGATGAGGGAGAATTTGAAGCAGCTTCAGTAGAGGCCTTTTAAAAAAAGTGAGTTGTTGGTGCAATAGGAGCTGAAGGAGGACTTGTGTCATATTTAGTAGTACTTCACTCCAAATGTAATCTCACTGAACAATTTTCTGCATGTGTACTTTGCTTGGTGCTGCATTGGTTGAATATATGCTATTACCCAATACACATTGATGATCGATTTTAGATACACACACATGGAGACACGCATTCCAGGCTGACCCTATAGGGAGGTAGCAAAAGGGAGTGAAAAGGAAAAGGGATGTGGGGGACCTGAAATGTGAGACTCCTGGGTAAACCCGAGTGGAGACCGAAGGGGAGCTCCTTCTTTCCTGAAGTGATTTAGGGTCAGCCCGATGCTCCTGCTTCTTCTCACAAACTGAGACCCAGACACATCATCAGATCCTCACCACAGTGAACAAATGAGGTGACTTATTGATGCAGACCTGGCTAGTGTTTACTGTCGGACCTTGTGCAGTCCGACACACACAGATATGCATTCGCAGCTCGTTCACGAGAAGGGGGGTAGTGAAGGCTATAAATGACATGTCATGGTTGTGTGCATAGTCAGTGCATTATATATGTTTAAAGAAATAAGGATGAGGTAATGGTCTCTAAACGAGTCTGCTTTCCCCTCCGCGCAGTCTGTCCCAGTACAGCGAGGACAACATGATGGACCCATACAACCTGGCCATCTGTTTCGGTCCCACCCTGATGTCTGTCCCTGCGGGCAACGACCAGGTCTCTTGCCAGGCCCACGTCAACGAGCTCATTAAAACCATCATCATCCACCATGACACCATCTTCCCCAGGCTGCAGGACCTGCAGGGCCCCATCTACACCATCCCTGGAGCTGGAGATGACTTCTGGTGAGGGGAGTTTGATAAGTCATGTAGGACAGAAAGGGTTGTCTTGTCCAATTGTTATCTAACAAGAGGGGGCTTGAAGATGATGAGGAGGCCAGAGAAAAGGGGGCAGGTGGTTGATTTAGGGGCTACCGTGGAGTGATGGGGGGGGGGGGGGGGGGTTGTGTGGCCGGCCCCGGGGGGGGGGGGGGGGGGGGGGGGCTCAGCTTGTCTGCCCCGCTCTGGGCCAGGGGGCCACGAGGATCAGCTTACCCTCCGTCACACAGGAGATTAAAGTACCGCCTGACCACATCAGCCTGGGAGAGCGCAGCATGTTTGCACACAACGGTCAATTTTCCTGTAATGACGAGCCTCGCCACCACTTATTATGATCACTGCCAGTCAGTGCAGTTGTTTAGACTGTAAGTTACGCTGGAGGAGCAGCTACAGTCTCTACTGTACAAAGTGTAGACGGTAAAATATTATCACAATGGCACGACTGGGATTTGTTGCACCATAGCTACTGTAGCATTAAGGTCATGTGATCGATACCGTACCTCTTCTGGGAATCTGTAAGTTTTAGCAGCTTGGAGGAGTCTAAATTCAACAACTAAAACGGACATATGAGGGTGCCAAATTGGGTCATGGGCATAAAGTGAGACAGACGAGTGTACAAGTTTGCATCATGGTTATAATCTCGACACTAAGCACTGGCAGGGTGCATACAGTATGAACTAATGTGATTTAAACAGGGAACATGAGGTCAGGCTGTGAGTCATAAACACATGTCAGTCTGAGACTTTTGTGTCGTGTCCTCTAACCTCATGTGCTCTCTGTGTCCACTTCAGTGAGCCCCCCCTTGTGGAAGAGCCTGCGCCCGTCTCCGTCACCCACAACAGCGAAGATGGTGCATAACACACACACACACACATACACATGAATACTATTATATACTGTACTCAATGAAGCCAGTTTCCTTTTGCCACCATTTCATGAAATCTCGTCCTGCTTTTCTCACCAGTTCCTTTGGCTCCAATCGTTTAATCAAGCCAACGTCCTTCTCCCAGTAACATGTTTATTTTGCTGCTTTGTTACTGCTCAGCAGTTTTAACATTTGTGCAGTCACCAAACACAGCAGCACTAACCTGCTATGCACTAATCTAGCCTCCCCTTCTCTTCCACCTCTCTTTTCTCTCTCTCTCTCTCTCTTTTATTTGTTGCTGCCTCCTGCTTCTCCGTCCACTTCCCGTGTCCGTCCACCGTCCTCTGAATCTCAGGCTCCTTGGCTGTTTCAGAGTCCGACCCATTCGAAGCCATCGCTCGGTTCGACTACTCCGGCCGGACTAGTCGGGAGCTATCGTTCAAGAAGGGCGCTTCTCTGCTTCTGTACCAGCGCGCTTCTGACGACTGGTGGGAGGGACGACATAACGGAGTGGATGGACTGGTGGCTCACCAGTACATTGTGATCCAAGACACGTAAGATGTGTTCCAGTCGCTGGTCTTGATCACATGTCTGCATAAGGAACAGATCAACAAATGAAATAATAAATGATAGTATTTCTCATCATTTTCGTCTGTGGTGAATATAGGTCATGATGATATTCTACTCAGCGCCTCTGTTGTAGAGTTTTCCAAAATGTGAACTCTGGCTATCAAATGGCAAATAGCAAAGAGCCCTGTACAGAAAACATCAACAGAAATGACACTTTTTCTTTAATCTGGCCAGAAGTAAACTCAGAAAATAGTCCAGTGGAAATCCCCACGTCTGAGGAAGTTGATCTGCTATGACATGCAGCAAACTGCAGAGCAGATCAACTTCCAATGTCGAGCGGTTTGTTGACATAAACGTGTGAGGATTCTTTCCACTTCTCGGGCGATGGCTACGGGGATTTAGAAGAGAATACATTACTGTGCATGAAAATAAACAAAGACAAGTGAGTGTAGCAGCTGTAAGCGTTCTAGTTAGAGTCCACGTTTCCCAAAACTCAGGGCTGTTGAGTAAAAGGTTATCTCGATCCTACTAGATAAGAATGAGTATAATAAACTGGTTGACAAATACTGGATTTTCCCTTTTAAGTTACCATCTTCGTTACGTCATTCTACTGTGGCCTGTTTGGATGCGAGTCGAGAGTAGTTGCTAATTAGAAGCAAAGTGGCACTGAGTAGGTTTTGTGTTTCAGAAGTAACGTGTCATTGAGAGAGACGGCTCCTTCTCTGCTAGCGTGGTGCAAGTGGGAGGCACAGCCGTGATGAATAAACTACCGCTTGATTGTTTCAGGCCTGACGGGGGCAGGGGGAGTCCAAAGCCCGATGTGGACAGCAGGGACCTGCTGGAGGAGAGAGTGTCCACCAGAGGCAGTGCTGCCTCTCCTACCGGAGCTCATGTGGCCGACATCTATCTGGCCAACCTGAACAAGTGTGTCTCAGACTTTTTATAGTATCCCATAGATTTTCATTTGCAGCTTCAGTTGATATGAAATGAATTAAGTGGAAATCAACTGAAACCTGAAACCGAATCCCAACAACACAGTGAATAAAATAAAAATGTAACTGAAATATTTGTCTCATTCAGGTTGAGGAAACGTCCGGAGTCCGGGAGCATCCGAAGAGCGTTCCGTGGCTCAGAGAGCGACAGCACGAGTCCAGGAGCCAGTGGAGGGGGAGGAGGGGGAGGAGGAGGGGTGAGAACCGCTTCTCTTCCTGTTGGTGGGGCTCTGGTGAAAGAAACTGGGGATAAACGACCCGTCAGCGCTCACAGCATCCTCAACTCAGTCACCCGACACTCCTCTCTCAAGACCAAGGTACAGTGACATCTTATCTTCGACAAATTAATGTAGTGACCGGATTGTTTAGCTTCATTTCTGAGAAGCATTTAATTGAGGGCAGTATGAATGTTTAGGTGGAGAGTCCACAGTTACGCAAGACAACTACAGCAGGGCGCTCCAAGAGCTTCAGCAACCACAGACCACTGGACCCTGAGGTCATAGCCCAAGTGGAGCACAGCTCACAGGTACAACTCTGGTTTTGAATCACCTACATACCCGTCTGCAGTGCATGCACAAGGTAACATCTACTTTTCTGTCCGCCTCTCGTGTTGCAGGACATCGAGGCCGTGATGAACTCTGCCCTGACTGAGCTCAGTAAGTTGGAAAGGCAGAGCACCTCGAAGCACACACACACCCCCGACGTGGTCCTGGACACACTGGAGCAGCTGAAAGGTGTGTGTGGTGGAGGAGGAGGAGGAGGAGGAGGAGCCTCGGAGCCCTCCAGTCCACTCCACTCCCGTCTGTTAAGGGACAGCGAGGGGGGCTCTTCCCATGCCCACCCGCTTCAGCGCAGCGCCTCCTCTGCCAGCGACGTGCCCTCCTCCTTCCGCCCGGTCAAGAGCCAGCCGCGGAGCCCCCTGCCCTCTGCCACATCCCCCTCTCTCTCCTTTTCCTCCCTCTCCTCATCTGTACCTTCCTTTAGAGAGCTGCGCCCCCCAGCAACCAGGCCCAAACCGGTGGTGTTCCCAAAGAACGGCGGTGGCAGTCCAGCCATGGGTTCCCCGACCTCTACTGTGCCCCCTACACCTCCTCCTCCACTTACAGGCCACACACACTCTCTCCCTCACACCCCTCCTCCTCCACCTCCACCCCAGTCTACTGACAAATCCTGCCCGGCTTAGGACTTCTCAATCCGACCCGCGATACTGATTCTTGCAAACTCTTTGATTCTTACAGCTCTTGTACCAGGTGCAGAAAGCACCTCCTTTGTTCAACACAAGACGTAACCCACTACTCATGTGTAGCATTCACTTCTTGTTGTCCAGGCGAGTTCTTAAGATGCCACGTTCCCTTTTAGAGTGTCAAGATGTTTTCTGCCCTCTCCTGGCAGCTCTGCTTACTGCAGTTCAACTATCAGAGGGCGTAGATTAGTGAACACGCTTCAAAGACAGAGATCCCAGGCATCACTGGATTTTATTTCATTCTTTTTTTTACAAGGGAACAGGACTCAGGACGGACACCTACAGAACTAAAGCTTTCATACACTAGTTTGTGATGTTTGAAATTGTGTTTGAGTGGGCGTGCAGGAGTGTTACTTGCCTTTTACACACAGATCTAAGTGAGAAACAAAAAGCACTGTTTGATTTTGTACAGTAGACACGACTGTTTTTCTTTTCTTTTTAATGACCCATGTTTAATGGACTGGAAGGGAGTGTTTGATTCCTGAGAATAGACTGTGAAACGCTAAGCTCTCGCACTGACTCGCTGCTTCAAAAGTTGAAGACTGGAGATAAAGGTGGCATTTTTGGATGATGAAAGGAAAGAAAACTGGGCCAAATATCGGTGTAAGTCATGTGATCGAGAGCTTTATTTGACCTCTTCCTCCAGTGTTTGACATGTTGGTGATTTTTATGTTATTTTTTACGACTGTTCTTTATTAGTACCACAACAGGGGCATAGCAGGAGCAGTGTTCCCCGAAGCCTAACATGGCCAACAGTAATTCTAAATACACACATAGCAATACAGATAATGAAAGCTGATAGTTTGAGGCATTATGCTGCTTCTCTCCTGTAGCTCTATTATGTGTGTAGGGGACCACTGAAACCCAGCATTTTTATAGGCAATGTTGGACTGTACACATACACACACATTCTCTCAAAATGTGTGCGTGTTGGTGTTTTGTGGCAGCTAAACGCCTTTTCAGGTTTTCCTTCGCATGCTGGGGCCATAGACAGCGGCCACTATGGCGAGCTGGCCGATTGCATCAGTTTATGTGTCTGCGCGGCACCAGACACAGCATAACTTCAAACAAAGTGACAGCTTGCTCCTTTTTAAAAATAAACTTCACACTTAACAGTAAAAAGGGTTATATTATTCCAATGGTGTGTATGTATGTTTAATAATCATGTTGATAACTGGAAGCATGGAGCTGAGGATCCTCTTAAGTGTGTTTTTAAATAGAAGCAACCAACCACCTCATCCACTGCGTTCTGAAGCAAAGATTGCTTTTGTTGTTACTTTTTGTTCCCAGTTGTTAATTAATGCTCCGAATCTGTAATGGTAAAATTGTTGAACTGTGTAGCTGTGTCTGGGTGTGTGTGCATGTGTGTGTGTGTGTGTGTGTGTGCGTGCGCCTGTGGGAGCATGCGTGGAAGTAGAGTATGTATGCACCCCGCCCCCCCCACCCCTTGCAATGCCCACCCACCATAAAGGGATGCCACCCAACAGGAACTGTCTGCAGAGACACAGGAGTAACAGCGGCCTTAGTGCTGAATAAATATGCACTGTGTGTACATGTGAGCAGACAGAAAGCCTGCAAGTATATACGTGAAAAGTTGTCTCGTCTTCAGTCACTGCTGTAACAACACCAGTGGCAGATCAGCTTTAAGGAAAAACAGGAGCAGAAAAAGGGCTTACTTTTTTTTTTTTTGTAATATAATTTTTGCAAAAATATATCTTTGCAAAATTAGATCTGATGATGAATTAAGTAATATGTGAATAATTTTTCAAACACTGACTTCAAAAGTGGACACATGTCATTCAGGGTCAACTGAATAATACCTTTTTTGTTGTTGTATTTCACCTTCTTTGAAACAGTGTTGAACTAATCTTACTGAGGTGTCCTCATATTCCCCACTATCACGCCCTGTATGCTCTCTACCAGGTAATGAATTATACTTGTAAAGGTTTATTTTTTATCTCTGTATACTGTTCATGTATTACCTGGTGTATTTGTGTTGCTCTTACCTCATCGTGACAACTGGAGGGACTGTGACTGTATGCGCGTGTGTGTGTGTGTGGTGAGAAATGAACTCCCCTTACCCATACAGTACACTCTCTTAACACATACAGACATGCATGTGGTTGGTTGGTGTGTTTTGTCCCGGCTGTGTCATCAAGGGGAGCTGGGACCCTCTTCGATCTTAAATCAATCATTGTGCACTTGAACAACTTGGCTTGCGTGTGGACTAACTATGTGGGGATGATTTGTCAGAATTGAATATTGTTAAATATGCATTTTGTGTCCGATTGAAAACAGCAGAACTAAAAAAAAAAAAGAAGACTGTAATGTCAAATCTATTTATAGTTGTCTCTGTATTACTGGAGAATCCTGTGTTCAGATGTACTTTGTATATACAATGTTGTACATTACAGAGGTACACTCTTTTTTGGTACAATATTGTACAGTAATAGCAATAGTAGTTTAATCAAATAGGCCTTATATAATTCTATGTGTAGTTCTTGTAGTAGATCTGTTTTTTAATAAACATTGCTTGCTATATAGACTCTTGAATTCTTTGGCGTTTGTAGTAATAAAAAATTGTCCATGAAAATATGTTGATGATAGAATATATTGTCTGCCCCAAGTAAGTACAGACCAAGGATATACAGTATAGCAAGAAGAACCAAGTGAAGCACAATGAGGGGTGTTGATGGCATATTGGACACTGTAGACAAGAAAAGGGGTACTCCAGAAGTTTAGCATTCTACTTCCATAAAGTTGTGAGACTCACAAGAGACATACCTAAAAGAGAGCAGTCAACACTGAAGCAGCAGAGGCAGAGATACTGACCTTGAGGCCCCTTGTGCCAAAAAGCACTCAACCCTACATTTCCCATGATGCAACTCGGTATATTTCTGTAGACCCTCCTTGGCTTGTAAACACTCTTCTTTAGAACTGCACACCATAAGTTTGTAATGCAGGCCTTCTGTTAAAAAATGTTTCGTCTTAAACACAGTCCAAATTAAAAAGATAACTCGGATGACATCACCGGGATTCTTTTTTTTTTTTTTTTTCAAACTTTGCTCCCACCACAGCCACAGCAGACTTTATACTCACAGGCCTCAGCCTATATAGTATAAAGCACCTATGAGTAGTACTCATGGAGAGAAAGCAGAACTTGGTGGGGTTCCCCTTTTAACAGAACACATCAAAGCATGTCACGCAGATAAACAGGTAGACACAGTGTCTGCAGTATCAGATCAGACTGTGATCATAGAAACCATAAACTCACTGATCAAGAAAATAAACCTGTTAAAAAAATACCTGCAAATGAGATGTGCAGATTCTAAATCTATATGTATTAAACAAATTGGGAAAAGGACGGCACTGGTATCAGCTTGCAGACATCTTGAGGCGGGGGTACGAATGTGACTGATATTAAATATATTTTACGGATCAAATGTTAATTTGTCTCTCGTGTTGAACAGCAGAGGGACAGACGTGATCAAGAAACAAATCTTGGAGTCATTAATGTAACAACTGAGAGAGAGGACATGATGAGAGTGACTGTGTTGCCATGTCTGTGTAAAGTCAGCAGGAGTGCTGTCATCACTTCCTCTCTCTGACACATTTGGGTTAAATATGTGCAAACAAAGTCTGTCCCTGTGGATGAGCTCCAAAATGTCAGTTCAGGGCCTCATGCTCTCAAATGTATCTTTGGGAAACAACTGTTTATGTTTGTTGATATGCTGACTGTCATTTTAAATACACGAGAATAGTGGGGTGGAAATTGTGCTGTAGTTTCCCTGTGTCATGGAGGTGCCCAACATGGGTCTGTTTGGAGACCCTCAGGGACCCTCAGGGACCCTGCATGCTGCCCAGCAGCTCCTTTTCCGGTCTAGAACTTGTCTCAAGTAAAAACTAGGAACAATAAATATTCCAGAATCCAGATTCCCCAGGCTGCCTCCGTGTAACGTGATGTAGGAGTGTGTGGTGAGCCGTCTTCCTCAGCGTACTCTCCCAGTCAACACAGACGGAAGTTGAAGCAGAGAATGAAACTGTCTAGTTTGCAATTCGCTGTATTTCCGCCACTGTTTACGATTAACGAATGCGCCGCGCGTGCAGCCGACACTTCCTAAATCATTCAGAGAAATCCTGCAAGCAGCTGCCTTTGCTGAAACTCGGGAATTCTTTGGATCCGCGTAAATAAACTGTTATTACGCTCACCAGCGGCAGATTCTCCCTGAACCGTATTACCGTATTACCTGTTCAGAACGCAGCCACGGTTCCCACCACGGAAGAAGTTTCACACGTAGGCGGATTCTGTTTTGAAGTACGTTTGATTTACTGTAAAGCTGCGGACCAGTGCGAGCTGTAACTGACACGACTGACGGTCACTTTTACTCCATATTTCACGGGGAAAAACAGTTAGTGCTGCGGTAGCCTGCTGTTTATCAGGAAGCTACTTCACGCATATTCAACGTTAACTGCAGCAGCAGCAGTCCAGGTGAGCTAACACTACACGTCCCAGGTAGTTAAATGAAAATGCTAAATAGCTTAATAAACTGGTTAACGCGAACAAGTAGTAGCTAACAGGATCAGCTATCATCGAATTGTGTCATTAAAGTGCATTTTAACGAGCTGGTTGTCGGTTAAATGGGACAGCAACGTTAGCTAAAGCTAGATAGAAGTCACATGAGCTGACAATGTAACGTTAGGTTAACTGTTAACGTATCCATTACGTACTTAGTCGCACTGTAACTTATGCATTGTTATAATACCCCAATTAGCCAAAGTATGTGGCTACTGTGTTCTGTATTGGGAGTGTGTGTCTCTCTGCCCAGTCTCTGTAGCGTTAGATATTGAACTAAGTTCTCTGTCAATGAATTGTTCTCCCCGTCTCTTCCTCCAGCATGACGGGCAGTACACCAAACTACCTGTGGTCTTTACAAGATGTCCTCGGTCAAGGGGCTACTGCCTGTGTCTACAAGGCGCGCAATAAGGTGCTGCAGCCACACTGAGGATGGTTTCTTTATTTATCATCATCATAACACACTGCCAAGTTGTTTCAACAACCTCATTCACATCACTGCTGCCATTATGTCAGATGTTTCCGCTTGTGTGACAGATAATGTGTGATTATGAAAGGATATGGTCGCAGTGGCGCTCTGATGTGTAATGCTGATGTATGTGTGTGTGTGTGTGTGTGTGTGTGTGTGCAGAGGTCGGGTGAGCTGGTAGCTGTCAAGGTGTTTAACCCAGTGAGCTACAACCGCCCCCATGAGGTCCGGATGAGAGAGTTCGAGATGCTGAGGAAGCTCAACCACAGCAATATTGTCCTGCTGTATGCCGTGGAAGAGGTAAGGCGACCACGCGAGGAGGACGGGAGACAAAAGCTACCACGAAGGAAAACACAGCCATGGTGTTGTGCTGAGATAATTATCTCTGTGTAAAAGCAGGGATGTTGTTTTATTCCAAAATGAACGGGAACGTGGAATGGGAGAGCATTTGTGCAGCTGGATCTACGCTGTAAAGCGCTATTCACACTTGACTGTTATTACCTGGGATCCTTCAGTAGTTTATAATAATTAGTTGAGGGCAGTAATTAGTCCTGTTCGGATCAGCATCTTTTGATTTGTATCCATCATATCATTTTTGAGGGGGTAAGTTTTCCCTAATGTATTTTTTTTAATGTTTACAAGGATTTGCAGCTCACCTCCTAAAGCCTCTCTCTCTCTCTCTCTCTCTCTCTCTCTCTCTCTCTCTCTCTCTCTCTCTCTCCCCCCCCCCCCTCTCTCTCTAGCTGCCCACCAAACAGAAGGTGCTGGTGATGGAGTATTGTTCAGGAGGAAGTCTGCTCAGCCTGCTCGAGGAGTCAGAAAACGCCTTTGGCTTGCCTGAAACGGAATTCCTCACAGTTTTGCAGTGTGTTGGTGGGTGTATATCTTGGTATTTCCCAATAATTTCATATACCTAAACTGAAGTATTCCTCCCTTCCTTATCTTCAGTGCAGGGGATGAACCACCTGCGAGAAAAAGGAGTGGTACACCGGGACATTAAGCCGGGCAACATCATGCGGCAGGTCGGGGAGGACGGCAAGTCTGTTTATAAGCTGACTGATTTTGGAGCAGCAAGAGAGCTGGAAGATGATGAGAAGTTTATGTCCATCTACGGAACCGAAGAGTATCTGGTAAGATAACAGTCACAGAAATAAACTAAGCATGCTTGTATCTGGCAAGTTTCAGTCAAAGATACCTTTTCTGATGAGTTTCGCTTAGTCTGCACAGTCCTTTAAAAAAAATTCAGTTTACAATTCATGTGTGTTTTATAAAAATAATCAACATGCTCAAGATCAAGAAATCCATAAAAAGATATCTCCAGCGTAACAGAACGCTGGAGGAGATAACATATTCATAAACCACTTTGATGTCTCAGAAGTTCAGCTCCACAGAGGGGAGACAGATCTCCATCACATGAGTCCACTTATATTATTCAGTTCATTGTGGCTTCATTGGCATGAAAGTTAAAAAGTGTTAATAAAGCATGAAAATGAAAAAGAAACAATGATATTAATATGAATATTAACACAACATTAACTTCAAGGAGTGCAACCGAGGAGGGATCGCTCTCACAGGACGAGCAGCAATAGATGTCATGTGTACAGATTAAACAACATTTTACAATATAGTCAATCCATAGGAGAGGAATGAGGATGATAACGAGAGTAGTAATATCAGTAGCAGCACTAATACTAGCAGAAATAATAACAAAAAGTATTACTACTCATAATAACGGCATCAGTGGATTGTATTAGAATGATAATGGCATTAAAAGCAGTAATAGTGATATAAATGTAACTAACAACCTGTTCCATGCACATTCCATTACTGCTGCCTTAAAGAACACGAGGGGACTTTATGAACAGAAACTCTTTTTACTTCCTAAGTGGAGGGGGACATTGCTGAGACATACTGGATGAACTAACACATCAACGTGAAATAAGGAATGTGATAAAATACTATTGCATCTGTGAAAAGTATGCTCAATGTCCCTTATTGATGGACAATCATAAGATCATTGGCAACCTATCAGTTCACTTTTCCTCCAGGGAAAAGCAGAAACGACATCACATCTCCTCTGATCTGAATCTCTATGTGTTGTACATGATCGGTGGTTTGTTATGAAGCCCAACTTTGAATCCACTCCAAGTTAGGTGTGAAAATCTTCCCGTGGCATCAGTGTCTGTGTTGAAAGGACTTTGTGAGACCGGCCCTTTGGAGCCTTGAGCTGTACACTCAAAAGCAACTTAGTATTATGAAGACTGGGTGGCCCTCTAGTGGACAAATGGGAACAGAAACTGAACCTTTCACTTTTATGTTTCTGCCTGATGCTAACGTCAACATGATGATCCCCGATTATACAAAAAGCGAGAGAGAATACATGTTAGGGCAAAAACCCTGCTTAAACTTGACACTTAGATCATACTGAAGTTTAATCTTAACTAGTAATCAACAGATGACTTATATCTGTGTGTGTGTGTGTGTGTGTGTGTGTGTGTGTGTGTGTGTGTGTGT